TCCGAAAGATGAGTTCCCGCTTCCCATTCCAGAACTGATGATCGATGCTACTACTGGGTATGAGGCAATGTCATTTATGGACGGTTCGTCGGGCTATAACCAAATACGCATGGCACCAAAAGATGAAGAGCTTACTGCATTCCGTACCCCAAAGGGTATTTATTGCTACAAGGTAATGCCTTTTGGCTTGAAGAACGCTGGTGCTACTTACCAAAGGGCTATGCAGAATATTTTCGACGATCTTCTCCACAAGAATGTCGAATGCTATGTTGACGACTTGGTGGTGAAATCAAGGGAGAAGGGCGACCACATGAAAGACTTGAGGATGGTATTTGAATTGCTCAGGAGGTACCAACTTAGGATGAATCCATTGAAATGTGCCTTTGGAGTTACTTCTGGAAAGTTCCTTGGTTTCATTGTCCGACATCGAGGGATCGAAATTGATCAAGCCAAAGTGGATGCCATTTTGAAAATGCTTGAGCCTCGAGATATCCATGAATTGAAAAGTCTGCAAGGAAAGCTAGCATACCTTAGAAGATTCATATCAAACCTGGCTGGGAGGTGCCAACCGTTTAGTCGCCTCATGAAGAAAGGCGTTCCTTTCAAGAGGGACCAAGCTTGTAGCAATGCCTTCGAAAGTATCAAAACCTACTTGATGAAGCCTCCAGTTTTAGCAGCTCCTATACCTGGAAAGCCATTGATACTATACATTGCGGCACATGAAAGGTCTGTTGGAGCATTTTCTAAATGGATTTTCAAGAAGAAAATGAAAGACGATGGTACTATTGACAAATACAAGGCAAGACTTGTTGTCAAAGGATTTAGACAACGAGAAGGTCTTGACTATTTTGACACATACTCGCCGGTAACAAGAATTACATCCATCCGGATGCTAATAGCGTTAGCCGTCTTGTATGGTCTTCAAATCCATCAAGTGGATGTAAAAACAGCCTTCTTAAATGGTGATCTTGAGGAAGAAATTTACATAAACCAACCTGAAGGGTTTGTGGTTCCGGGAAAAGAAAAGAAGGTGTGTAGACTTATTAAGTCTCTTTATGGACTAAAACAAGCACCCAAACAATGACATGCGAAATTTGACCAAACAATGTTGTCAAATGATTTTAAGATTAATGAATGTGATAAATGTGTTTACATTAAGAACGTTCCAAATCATATAGTCATTGTTTGCTTATATGTTGATGATATGCTAATAATGAGCAAAGACATTGCCGACATTCAAGCTACTAAGCGCATGCTTGCTAGTAAGTTTGATATGAAAGACTTAGGAGTTGCCGATGTAATTCTAGGAATTAAAATCCAGAGGAAGAAAATAGTAAGGGGAAAGAAAACTCTCTTTACTACTTGAGCGGGATGATGACACCTAACGAGTTGAATTATTCGCCAATTGAAAAGTTGTGTTTGGCGCTAGTCTTCTCAATTCAAAAGTTGAAGCACTACTTTCAAGCTCATGTTACGCCTTGTTTCTAAAGCAAAACCCATCAAGTTCGTGATGTCAAAACCTGTTCTTAGTGATCGACTAGCGATATGGTACCTCCAATTTCAACAATTCGAGATTTTGTACATCCCTCAAAAGGCTGTAAAAGGACAAGCATTGCCAGACTTCTTGGCAGATCATCCGATACCTGATGACTAGGAGCTAACTGATGAACTACCTGATGAGGATGCAATGCTCGTTGAAGTTCAACCTCCATGGAAGATGTACTTTGATGGTGCTGCGCATCGTGGGGGAGCCGGGGCTGGCGTAGTATTTGTCACTCCCCAAGGTGAAGTCTTGACCTACTCCTTCACCTTGACACAACTCTGTTCCAACAATGTTGTTGAGTATCAAGCAGTAATACTTGGGCTTGAAATGGCCGTTGATATGAAGCAATTGCAATTGCAAGTCTTTGGTGACTCTCAGTTAGTGGTCAATCAGCTTTTGGGTAGTTACGAGGTCAAGAAGCCTGAACTACGCCCATATCATGATTACGCTAAAAAGTTGATGGGGTGGCTCGGTGATATGACTATTCAGCATGTGCCAAGGAAAGAAAATAAGAAGGCTGATGCCTTAGCTGCTCTAGCTTCATCATTAGCCCTGCCTGACCAAGCGCAAGTTACCGTCTGCCAAAAATGGGTAGTACCGCCGCCAAATGAGGCTGAAGGTGAAGAAAACAAACTCAAGCATCTTGTTGCTGTTTTTGAAGTTGAGAAAGAAGAATGGAGACAACCCATTATCGACTACTTAAGCTGTGGGATACTTCCAGAAAATCCGAGGAGAAGGACTGAAATTCGTCGTCGTGCACCTCGCTTCCTTTACTACAAGGATACTCTATACAGAAGGTCGTTCGAGGAAGTACTCTTGCGATGCCTAGGAGAAGAAGAAGCTCTCCAAGCTTTGCAAGAGGCACATTCTGGGGTATGTGGGTCACAACAGTCTGGACCAAAGCTCCACTTCCATATAAAAAGGATGGGATATTATTGGCCAACAATGGTAAAAGATTGCTTGGACTACGCTCGAAGATGCAAGGCTTGTCAATTTCATGCGAATTTTATTCATCAACCTCCTGAAGTGTTGCACCCGACTATTGCATCCTGGCCATTTGACGCTTGGGGATTGGATGTTGTTGGACCACTGCCTAAGTCCTCTGGTGGGCACCTATACATCTTGGCTGCAACGGACTACTTCTCAAAATGGGCTGAAGCTGTTGCTCTTAAGGAAGTAAAGAAGGAAAATGTTGCAAGTTTCATCCGAGTAAACATTATTTATCGCTTTGGCATTCCTCGTTACATAATAACGGATAATGGAAAGGCATTCGATAATAGGTTGATGAACAAGATTTGTGATCTCTTTGGCTTCAAGCAACGTAACTCTTCGATGTACAATGCTGCCGCCAATGGTCTAGCTGAGGCATTCAACAAGACTCTATGCAACTTGTTAAAGAAAGTCGTCTCCAAATCCAAACGAGATTGGAATGACCGTATGGAAGAAGCTCTATGGGCATATAGGATGACTCACCGCACGCCAACACAGGTAACTCCTTATTCACTCGTTTATGGAGTCGAAGCCGTCTTGCCACTTGAGCGTCAAATACCTTCGCTACGACTGGATATTCAAGAAGGGATCACTGATGAAGAAAATGCTCGACTTCGATTAGTAGAGTTGGAAGCTCTTGATGAAAAGAGATTGGAAGCTCAACAGAGTCTTGAATGTTATCAAGCTCGATTATCTCGCGCCTTTAATAAAAGAGTTCGCCCGAGATCCTTTCAAGTAGGAGATTAAGTCCTTGCCGTACGAAGACCCATAACTACTTCCCATAAACCTATAGGGAAGTTCACTTCGATGGGATGGGCCATATGTCGTACAAGAAGCTTACTCAAGTGGGGCTTACAAGCTGGTTGATGCAGATGGCATGAGAATCGGCCCCATCAATGGCAAATTCTTAAAGAAGTATTATCCTTGAAATTGCAACGCTCCTTGACATACGAGCCTAAACTACGAGTCATGACGCTCCTTGACGCATGAGCCTAAACTGCATGTTGCTACTCTCCTGGCCCACATGAGTCTAAACTGTGTACGGCCCAAAAAAAAAGTCCGCTAGGTTGGAAACCTCGAAAGGGGCGGCCTAGGCAAAAGTTAGGACACATAAAAAAAATTAATTGAAATAAATAAATAAATAAAAAATTACCCATTCTAAACTATGGTATGACTTGATCCTCTTCACCGAGGTACGTAGGCAGCTTAGAGTTTGATTCTGAGTTCAGTCGCATAAGTTCAAAAGATACATATTGCCCCAATTGTTGTCCGAGTGAAGTATGGAGGAATGTAAAATCAAGCTGAAACGCCATCCTCCTGTTGAACTTTGATCTCATTTGATTTAAAAGGGGCAAGCTTCCATGGTAAATTGGTGTCTTCAATGGAATGATTATAGTCTTTTAGGAGGCTACCAAGTATTTGCAATGAAGCCTGGTGATTAGTTATGCCTTCAAGTTCGCCAAACCTTCAAATTTTTGGTCTTCAAGTTGAAGTCTTCAAATCCGCCAGTCTTCAAGTTGAAGTATTCAAGCCCTCCAAGTCCATCGGTCTTCAAGTTTAAGTCCTTAAGTTCACCAGAATTCAAGTTGAGTTGTTTACGCCCTCCAAGTCTTTAAGTTGAAGTCTTCAAGTCTGTTAACTCTTCAAGTTGAAGTTTAAAGTCCACCGCTCTTGAAGTTGACGCATCAAAGTCCGCCAAATCTTCAAATCCGTCAAAACTTTAAGTTTGTCGGTCTTCAAGTTGAAGTCTACAAATCCACCAAGTCTTTAAGTTGAGGCTTTCTAATTTTCCAATCTTAAGGTGGGCATTTAAGTCCCTTTGCACCTTAAGTTGGTCCCTTTACGGGTTTGTCCTTAAAAAGAACTTTAATTTTCCAATCTTAAGGTGGACGCTTAAATCCCTTTGCACTTTAAGTTGGTCTCTTCACGGATTTGTCCGTCTATATGGTGATGTGGATTTGTCCGTCTGTATATTAAGGTGGATTTATCTGTCTATATGATGATGCGGATTTGTCCGTCTATATGTTGATGTGGATGTGTCCATCTATATATTGATGTGGATGTGTCCATGGGCGAAGCCACGTTTAGCAAAGGGTGGTCAACTGACCACCCTTCGCCGAAAAGTTATAAAAAATTACACTGTGTATATAAGTAAAATATTGAATTTAGATATATAAAACCTATATTGAACACCCTTTGTCGGAATTTTTTTCTACTTCTTTCAATTTTGAACACCCTTGGAAATATTTCTGGCTTCGCCACTGGATGTGTCCGTCTATATGTTGATGTTGATTTGTCCGTCTATATGGTGATGTGGATTTGTCCGTCTATATATTGAGGTGGATTTATTCGTCTGTATGATAATGTGGACTTGTCCGTCTATATGTTGATGTGGATTTGTCCGTCTATATGTTGATGTTGATTTGTCCGTCTATATGTTGATGTTGACGTATCCGTCTATATAGTAATGGGGTTTGTCCGTCTATAAGTTGTTACGAATTTATCCATCTATAAGTTGTTGCAAATTGATCTGTCTATAAGTTGTTGCAAGATCCGTCCGTCTATAAATTGTTGTGAATTTAACCGTCTATAAGTTGTTAACGATTTATCCTTCGATGGGACGTCATGGAGTTGCTCGTCAACTTAGCACTCGACAACTTTTCTTCTTGGGCCTACAAAATAAAAGAAGGGAAAAATAAAAGCAAAGGGAAATATACAGAAGAAGAAATTACCATCTGATATTTTCTAATTGTCGAAGTCAAACTTAAAATGGCTCGTCTGCACAGCGAATTGATGCTCACAAGTTGGAGATGACGCGTCCTTATATAGATTTCTCAAGGCAGTAACTGGGAATAAAGTTCCGATGTGGTACATAGTTACTGCTCCTAGTTGGAAGTGGTTATTGTAAGATGGTGATAGGTTTTCTAAACCTTTTTGGAGATGTGCAGGTTATGATAATGCAACATGATAAAAGGGTAGCGATGGATTCGTAATTTCAAAAGGCTACTCGAGTTAGAAAAGCAGGAAAACAAGTTCCATTAGGATTCAATGTCTACGGAAGTACTACTAGCTTGACACACATATAAAAGCTCGTGTACTTATCCTTTTGGAGTTAATGTAGAATTCGCAAAAAGAACAGTAATCAACGTTATCGATTTGGGGGTATAGGGTTCCTGGTTTCTTCTCCCTCTCTTTTACTAAATTCAATGCAAACAAACTCAGTAATACTTCAAATTACCTCTTTCACTACTCGTTAATCACTGGTACATGTTAATATTTTATTTATTTTTATATTCGTGTTATACTTGTGTGATCCCTTGGTGCTAGAACTTGCTTTGTTCTGGACCAAAAGTATTGCTGCTTGAATTTAGCCAATCATTGCAAGTTAGTTTCTGAACAACTGCCGCAAAAATAAAATTCCCTTGTTCGTGTCGATTATTTCTTCTTGTGTAGATTGTTCGTGTAAAACTACCATTTCAACAGTTCATTTTTCTCAAGATCTGATTCTCCTTCGTAAGTTTTCAGAAAGCTTTTATTTACAGTTAGCATTTCGAAAACTGTTTTCCAAAAAGAATCCCCTACTATACACTCAATCCTTTTGCCTTTATCTCTGTTGGCAACATAAGACTGTATCTTTCTTATTGTAATTTGTAGAAGTTATTGGTTTTCATTTCTAGGTTTTTTGCTACCCTATTCTCTTGGTTCCGTGGGTGTTTGTGTATTTTGCAGGTATCATTTTGGGAGGTGCACGCGCACAAGCAGTAAAGTAGCAGCTATACGCCAGGTTCCGCAGCATCGGGAGTATACCAAGTCGGGAGTTCCAGGTTTTATTCACGGGAATTGGTACCTCCCGCTTCTTGTTTCTCTGTCCCCTGTGTTAATTACTTCATTAGCATAGTATTTCGTATTAGTCAAGTCAGTTTAGTGGGCTTGTAGTTACTATTTGCTCCCCTCGTTGTTTTGTGTGGTATTATTTCTCCGTTTCATTTTTAGACCTTCGTAGGTATAGAGACTGTGGTTTGTAATGGCAGAGTAGGGTCATGTCCTCGGGGAGGTTGGATAGTGGGGAGGGGGTAGGGAAAGGGTCGGGGGTGGGACGGGGCCCAAAGGGGGTAAAGGGAACAAGGTAGCCTATAGGTTGAGAGTTGGATCGTGGAATATAGGGACGTTGACGGGTAAGTCTATAGAGCTGGCGAAGATTCTCCAGAAGAGAAGGGTCAATATAGCGTGTGTGCAGGAGACTAGGTGGGTAGGATCTAAGGCGAGGAATTTAGACGGGTATAAATTGTGGTTCTCCGGAGTCGTGAAGGGCAAGAACGGAGTGGGCATTTTAGTGGACAGGGAGCTCAGAGAGTCGGTGGTAGAGGTAAGACGGGTGAATGACAGATTGATGGCGATTAAGGTAGTAGTCGGAGGGAGCACTCTGAATGTCATTAGCGCTTACGCGCCGCAAACGGGATTGGACGAGGAGGTAAAAAGGCGCTTCTGGGAGGCGCTGGATGAGGTGGTGCGGGGTATCCCGCCAACGGAGAAGCTAGTCATAGGAAGGGATTTCAATGGTCATATTGGGTCGTCTGCTGGTGGCTATGGTGAGGTGCATGGTGGCTTCGGCTTTGGTGATAGGAACGGGGGTGGTACCTCACTGTTGGATTTCGCTAGAGCTTTTGAGTTGGTGATAGTGAACTCTATGTTTCCAAAGAGGGAGGAACATTTAGTTACTTTCCGGAGTATGGTGGCTAACACTCAAATTGACTATCTCCTCCTCAAGAGGTGTGATAGGGGTTTGTGCGAGGATTGCAAGGTGATCCCGAGTGAGAACCTCGCAACTCAACATAGGCTCCTAGTGATGGACGTCAGTATTTTGCGAAGAGGAAGAGGAGGTTTGTTCGGGGTCCATCGAGGATTAGGTGGGGAGCTTTGTCTAAGGATAATGCGCATGAGTTGGAGGGGCGGCTGACAAATATGGGTGCTTGGAAGAGTGGTGGGGACGCTAGCGCTATGTGGACGGCGACGGCGGACTGTATAAGGGAGGCAGCAAGAGAGGTGTTGGGAGTTTCGAAAGGCTATTATGGCGGGCATCAAGGCGACTGGTGGTGGAATGACGTGGTCCAAGGTAAAGTAGAAGCCAAGAAAGCGGCGTACATTAAGTTAATAGAGAGCACCGACGAGGATCAGAGAAGAGCGAACAGAGAAAGATATAAGGAGGCTAGGAAGGAGGCGAAAGTAGCGGTCTCAGAGGCTAAGACTGCTGCTTTTGGTCGGCTTTATGAGGAACTGGGGCGCAAAGGTGGGGATAAGAAGTTATTTCGATTGGCCAAAGCGAGAGAGAAGAAGGCTTGCGATCTGGATCAAGTGAGGTGTATCAAAGACGAGGACGGTCGAGTATTGATGGAAGAGGCCCAGATTAGGCCAAGATGGCAGTCGTACTTCCATAAACTTCTGAATGAAGAGGGGGGTGGAAACATCGTGTTAGGGCAATTGGGGCACTCCGAGAGTCACCGAGACTTTATGTATTGTAGGCGCATTAAGGTTGAGGAGGTCGTGGGCGCGATGGGTAAGATGAGTCGGGGCAAAGCGCCCGGCCCTGACGAGATTCCAGTGGAGTTTTGGAGATATGCGGGTAGGGCAGGCTTGGAGTGGCTGACTGGGCTGTTTAATGTTATCTTCAAGACTAAGAGGATGCCTGATGAATGGCGGTGGAGTACAATGGTGCCGGTGTACAAGAACAAAGGAGATATCCAGAATTGTAACAACTATAGGGGTATCAAGTTACTAAGTCATACCATGAAAGTTTGGGAGAAGGTGGTGGAAATGAGGATAAGGAGGGCGGTGTCTATATCGGAAAACCAGTTCGGGTTCATGCCGGGCCGTTCTACTACGGAAGCTATCCACCTTATTAGGAGGTTGGTGGAACTATACAGGGATAGGAAGAGGGATTTGCATATGGTGTTTATTGACCTAGAGAAGGCATATGACAAGGTCCCTAGGGACGTCCTTTTGAGGTGTCTGGAGGTGAAAGGTGTGCCGGTGGCTTACATTAGGGCGATAAAGGATATGTATGATGGAGCTATGACTCGGGTAAGGACTGTGGGAGGTGACTCAGAGCCTTTTCCGGTGGTTATGGGATTACACCAAGGATCTGCGCTCAGCCCGTTCTTATTTGCTCTGGCGATGGACGCACTGACACACCATATCCAAGGAGAGGTGCCATGGTGTATGCTGTTCGCTGATGATATAGTTCTGATTGATGAGACGCGAGGCGGCATTAATGGGAGACTGGAGGTATGGAGGCAGACCCTAGAGTCTAAAGGTTTCAAGTTGAGTAGGACTAAGGAAGAATATGTGAAATGTAAGTTCAGCAACGTGACGGGGGAAGCGGAGGTGGAAGTTAGGCTTGACTCACAGGTCATCCCCAAGAGAGAAAGTTTTAAGTACTTAGGGTCAATTATCCAAGGAGATGGGGAGATCGATGGGGATGTTACGCACCGTATAGGAGTGGGGTGGATGAAATGGAGGTTAGCGTCTGGAGTCCTGTGTGACAAGAATGTGCCACCGAAACTCAAAGGTAAGTTCTATAAAGCGGTGGTTAGACCGGCCATGTTGTATGGAGCTGAGTATTGGCCAGTCAAGAATTCACATATCCAGAAGATGAAAGTAGCATAAATGAGGATGTTAAGATGGATGTGTGGGCTCACTAGGCTGGATAAGATTCAGAATGAAGATATTCGGGAGAGGGTGGGCGTGGCTCCCGTGGACGATAAGATGCGGGAAGCGCGGCTTAGATGGTTCGGACACGTGTGGAGGAGAAGCCTAGATGCACCGGTTAGGAGGTGTGAGCGGTTGACTTTGGCAGGTACGAGAAGAGGCAGAGGGCGGCCTAGGAAGTATTGGGGTGAGGTGATCAGGCAGGACATGGCGCGACTTCAGATTTTCGAGGACATGGCTCTTGATAGGAACATGTGGAGGTCGAGCATTAGGGTGGTAGGCTAGGGGGTAGTCGAGTGTTCTTCCCTCTTTGTACCGGGTAGTCTGTTAGAGTTTCGTTAGGTTTGTTAGCAGTCTTTGTGGTATTCACATTGATGTTTTGCATAGTTTTGTGTTATTGTCCTTTCACTTATTTGTTGTGGTTATTTTCTTTCTGGTATCTTTTATTGTTACATATCTTTTCTCTTATTTATTTTCTGATATTATTGCCTTTCCTGTTGTGCCGAGAGTCCCCTGGAAACAGCCTCTCTGCCCTTTTCGGGGTAGGGGTAAGGTCTGCGTACACCCTACTCTCCCCAGACCCCATTAGTGGGATTTTAACTGGGTATGTTGTTGTTGTTGTATCTACTAGCACTACATTTACTTGTAATGCAGGATTTGGCTTTTTAAAATTTTGAAGCACAGAGGTTATTAAACCAAAATAATGGTAAATAACTTATTTGGGCAAAGGAACACAAGTGTTGCTTACGTGTAATCTCCAAAGAGATGCTTAGTTGAAACTTGCCAATTTATAAAATTGTGCAACACCGTGATCAATGATATGTGGATTTGAACCAACGAAAGAAATGTTATTTTTGATTATTTAAGTAACCAATTGAATGATTAAGGGAATCCTAAAGGCCATAAGTGCTTGGCATAATTCAGATTATACGAGGGAAAATAAATGATGCCATATTAATACTTCAACCCTTGCCTAAGTTTTAACAAAGTTATCTCGACAAGTCCTGAAGTAGGGGGCATATATAGGCATGCAAAATTTATTGAATTTAAATTCAATAAAATAATTTGGATTATATTTTAAATTCAAGATATATTGGTCCAAACAAATATTATGGGCTAATATAATTGAATTAATTATATAAGTCCAACATATATGGATTAATTAAATAAGTCTTAATCCATTGGGCTACCATTTAATTGGGCTAAAGTGATGAGCCCACTTCATTAAGCCCAAGATGCCATCTTCCTAGAGGACCCGTTTGGTGCCACGTGTCAAATGACGTGGCACGTCAAGTCAAATGGAAGAGCCAATGGGATCATGCCATGTGTCAAAATGACAAGGCATGCCAAGTCACGCTAAAAGGCCAATGAAATCGCGCCACGTGTGCAAGTGACATGTTCTGGCCAATCAAATGCGGCCTTGTCACACTTGAATTTGATTGGTCGAAAAGAGTTTGTTCTTATCATAACTCTTCCCTCCCACAACTATAAATAGGGGTCTTCATAACTCAGAAAAGACACCAGAAGTTATAACAAGAAGCAAGAAAGAACTCGTGGATCAAACACTGCAAATTCCTCCACAAGTTTCAAGCTTCAAGCAATCAAGTTCAAGTTCAAGAAATCAAGTTCAAGTTCAAGAACGAAGAACAGATCAAGTATTCAAGCTCAAGAACGAGGAACAATTCAAGTATTCAAGATCAAGAACGAAGTCAAATCAAATACAAGGCATTCAAGATCAAAGCTACTTGTTCTTGATAAAATTCGTGGCAACAATCAAAGTGTTCGCGACGGATAAATCAAATTCAAATTCAAGATCAAGCTCAAAGGCCCTTGAATTTATACTAGAAAAGTAGAATCAGAGGAATCATAGAGATTGTACACTCAAATATTTGAAATAAAAAACTACGATTGTTGCGATATTTTCGGTCTTGATTTTATTTTCTCGACGCAAATTTATTGTCTACATAGACCAAAAAGAATATCAGGTACTAATATTTTTCAATTTGGTTATGTCTTAATAGATAAAGTTATCTTGCTCATAGGATGACAGAATCGACTAACACACCATTACTATATAAATAAAAGAGTATTTTCTCTAAGGATATGGTGTAGCGAATGGTGCTGCTTTTCCTTTAATAGCAAGTAACCGAATACCAGATAAGAAACCAAAAAAAAAATATTTCCATTATCTCTCGCTAGGAGAGGAAATTCTTGCCTTCGTTAGTACTAAAAGTGGAAAAAAAGTGTAGAGAAAATAGTAAAAAGAAATAGATAAAATAATATTAGGAAGAAAAGAATCACATTCCTTTTGTTATATTTGTTGAAGTATAAAGTAAACTATACTAGTAGTAAAAGGTAAAAAATAAACAATGGCGTCTCTGCGTTTCCCGTTCTTGTTTTCTCAGCCCCAGAAGCCACCGTGTTCCACCATCGCAAATGCTTCATCTTGCTCCTTCTCCACCGCCGTGGTCGCCGGCGGTTCAGTCGTGGCTGCTGCTGGAGCGATCATCGCCATAACTCAAAGTCCCAAAAATCCGTTTTTTGAAAATGCTATGAATTTTCTACTCTCCAACTTCTCACCTAGCAAAAATCATTCCTCGCCTTTGTGGGGTTCTGTTTCTTTAGCTGAGAATTCAGCTCCAGTCACAGAATCGAGGACTGGAATGTCATTTCCGTCAATTCTGAAAGAGTCCCAGCGACTCCTTGGAATTGGGGTGCGCAAAAAGGCAATTTTTGGGTTGAAAAATATTGATGACTATGCTTTTGGTACCACATTGTCACTCCAATTTACTCTTCTTTTTTTTCTCTTTATCAATTTTTGAAGTAGATTCCTGTAGTTTAGTTGGAATTTTCGATTTTTGTGATCATTGTGTGGAGCTCAAATGCTTAATTATACTCCTTCCACTCCAATTTATGTGACTTAATTTGATTCGGCACGTAACTTGGGAAAAAAAAAAATACTAAGAGCCTGTTTGGACATAATAAATTTTTTCCTTTTTTCCAAAAAAAATTCATATTTTTTAAAATCAGTGTTTGTTTATAAAATTTTCAATTTTCACTTTAAGATACATTTTGGAAATTTTTGAACATTTGAAAAACTTTAAAAATTTATTTTTCTAAATTTTCACTCAAATACTAACAAAACTTTAAAGACAACCCAAAATTATATTCATATCCAAAAACAATTCTAAATTTCAAATGAGAAATTTTTTCAAACATTTTTTTTTGGAATTTTACAATTCTTATGACCAAACACCCACTAAGAATTTTGAATCTCGTGGTTTAACCATGTCATAATATTTTTGTGACGCTAATACTTTTGAGATTTGTGATTTTAAATCTGACATAACATTTAACATGTCATGACATTTGTGTCGGGGACTATAATATTGTTGAAACTTGCGTATTTAACATGACATATCATTTGCATCACTAGAAAAACTTCTTATAAAATTAAAAGTTCTACTAAAAGTGAAAACAAAAAGTGCAGAGAAAATAGGAAAAAGAAATAGATAAAAATAATATTAGGATGAAAAGAATTAGTACATTCCTTTTGTTATATTTTTGAAGTACAAAGTAAACTATACTCGTAGTAAAAGGAAATAAACAATGGCTTCTCTGCGTTTTCCGTTCTTGTTTTCTCAGCCGCAGAAGCCACCGTGTTCCTCCACCCCAAATGCTTCATCTCGCTCCTTGTCCACCGCCGCTGCCCTCGCCGCCGGAAGTTCAGTCGTGGCTGCTGGCGGAGCGATCATTGCCATCACTCAAAGCCCCAAAAATCCGTTTTTTGAAAATGCTATGAATTTTCTAATCTCCAACTTCTCGCCTAACAAAAATCATTCTTCACCTTTGTGGGGTTCTGTTTCTTTAGTTGATAATTCAGCTCCAGTCACTGAATCGAGGACTGGAATGTCATTTCCTTCAATTCTGAAAGAGTCCCAGCGACTCCTCGGAATTGGGCTGCGCAAAAAGGCAATTTTTGGGTTGAAAAACATTGATGTCTATGCTTTTGGTACCACATTGTCACTGCAATTTACTTTCTTTTTTTGCTCTATATCAATTTTTGAAGTAGATGCTTGTAGTTTAGTTGGAATTGTTGATTTTTGTGATCATTGTGTGGAGCACAAATGCTTAATTAAACTCCTTCAGGTCCAACTTATGTGACTTAATTTGATTCGGCAAAGAACTTAAGAAAAAAATAAGAATGTTGAAACTCGTGGTTTAACCATGTCATAATATTTGTGTGACTATTATACTTTTGAAACTTGTGATCTTAAACGTGACATAACATTTAAACATGTCATGACATTTGTGTCGCTGACTATAATATTGTTGAAGCTTGTGTATTTAACATGTCATAACATTCTCATCACTATAAAAGATTCTCATAAAAGGTAAAATGAAAGTTTAAAGTTATATTATTTCCAAATGTATTAATGTGTGCTCTTTTTGTAATAACCTAATAAGGAAATAGTGTCACATAAATTAGAACACAGTGAGTATCATATGAATGCCAATTCTTATCTGTTTTTAGCTGATTCACTTTCTATTTCAGTCAAAGTTCAAGAGCTCTATTAGTCACTTTATTACCCTATGGTAGGATTTATTAAGTTTCCATCTGACCATGTAAATAACTTTGCCTTTTATGTTAGCTGGTGTCATTTTGATCGACTCATGCTTACTATAGATAGTTACCTGGAATAGGTTTGAAGTAACCTGAAACAGTTTCTTATACTGTTAGTGCATAAAATTTAAATCCGTGGTATTATCATATTTTAGAATCTCATTGTCGTTTCTATTTGGATCTTCCTTTTAATGATAAGCGGAGATATGCATTATGCTCACTTCTTTTTTCCTTTTGCAATTTTGAATGTCCCATCTCGAAGGAAAAGTGAGCTTTACTTTAAAGTATGGTCGTTATCTAATGTGATGTCGATATGACACCCAATAGGTGTGTATGCTGATGATGGTGATGTGAAGAAGTGTCTGGCTCAGAAGCATGTCGGTCCCTCTGATTCTGAACTGAAGCAAAAGGAAGAGTTGAGGGATCATCTCATGGAAAATGATATACGCATAACTGTTAGGCTTCAGATAGTGTATGGGAGACTAAGCATTGGTTCTGTGCGTAGTGCTTTTGAAGAATCTGTTGGCAGCAGATTACTCAAGTTTGGGGGATATGATAACAAAGAATTGCTCCATAGGTAATTCCTTAGCCTCATATTATCGGTGTCTTATTCAACCTTTTTCAAATAAATACCAGATCACGGCAAAAGACTGCTAAAGCTGGAAGAAGCACTTCATTAGCTCGCACCCTAAATTATTCAATTCTTATATATATTCTGAAACCTTACTCAAGTTACCTTTTAAATTTAATGCTTTGCAATATCACAGTCTTGGACATTATTACTGGACTCTTTTGCCTAAATGTGATCAGTTATCTCTCAGCTTTACAAACAGCACGTCTTTTCCTTGAATAGAGTTCATTTAGCTGCTAACCAGTTTATTTAGAACATTATCATTTCCAAATCATTAACTATTCTTGCCTCCTTCTAGTTCTTTTATAGCCTAAAATGTCTTTTTGTAACTGCAGGTTCACTTCCCAGTTTAAAGATGACATTAAAATACCTCGGGGATCTATCATAGAGCTCTCCAGAGACCATGGGTACATACTTCACACAACAAGTAAGATGATTTATTTCTGTTGCCAGCATTTTGGCTGTGCGTGTAATTTGTGTCTGTGTGTGTTGAAAAAACAAATGTTATAGCTATCGGTTGGCCAAAATCATTGAAGAGCTATTAAGCAGATACATCATGCCATTATTTTCTTTTAGCCATTGCCCTTTTAAGGTTTGATTTCAAAGCAGTATAAAAGAGGCTACAATAAAGGGGAAATTAGTTTATCAAGTGAGAGCTAAACAAGAGCAATACGAAAAATATATTCTGATCACACCATCAGTTGTCATATTTCATTCCCTTACATTTCCTAAGAAGGAAGGGGAGCCTTGGCATAATTGGTAAAGTTGTTTCCATGTGACCAGGAGGTCACGGGTTCGAACCGTGGAAACAGCTTCTTGCAGAAATGCAGGGTAAGCCTGCGTACAATAGACCTTGTGGTCCAGCCCTTCTCCGGACGACGCGCATAGCGGGAGCTTAGTGCACCGGGCTGCCCTTACAACAGGAAGTGGCTAAACATTTTGGTTCTCTACAGGATTGGTATAAGATTTCAACCAACCATCCCTTTTGTTACGGATATATTTTTTCTGGCCTTCACCAGTTTCGCTATCTATAAAACTAAAAAGGGATTGCTGTATGTTAGCTGTTGAAAATATTTTTCCTTATTTGGATGTTTTCTTCTCATTTCTCTAAATATTATCTCTGAACTTTTTGCTTTGTAGTTGTTTGTTCAAAGTTCATTCTTGCATCAATCATTTCGATGAAGCTTAAGTTCTGTTTTTTTTTCTTTTATAGTTGACGGAAAGGAAGTGGGAAGCATACAAAGCAAACTCTTATGCAGATCAATTCTGGACCTATATATTGGTGATGAGTCATTTGATCAGAAAGCCAAAGAAGATGTTGAGTCGAACTTGGCTTCTCTACTTCACAAGTAGCCACTTCATTGGCATAAAAGATACTTTATCAACATTAGGAATCGACTTCTGGTGATATTGTATTGACTGGTTGATTATCTTTGAATAGTTGAATCAGAGATCTCTTCAAATAGAACATGGATCTATATTTTATATTTGATTTCTTTACTCCCGTAATATCTTGCTCTTGCATTCTATAATCTATAGTTCAATAAAAATGAGTATCTTGACCTTCGTTACCAAATTGTTTTTCTTTGCCATATAGAAATGAATCTGGGAGTGACAGGGAGAACAACCTGGATTACCATTTTCCAGTTATATATGTGAAGCATGGGTAAACGCTATAAGGTTCTTTTCCCTGGAGTTAGCGTGATGCAGGTGCAGTTTGGCAAAGAGAACTTCTTGGGACAGTCGGGGAGTATTTTTCCCCCTAAATTTAAGTTATATCCACTAACAGTGTCAAATATTACCAAGGGCCTATCGGAAACAACCTATCTATCCCACCAGGGTAGGGGTAAGGTATGAGTACACACTACCCTCCCCAGACCTCACTTGTGGGATTATACTTGGGTGGTTGTTGTTGTAGAGTCAAATATTAAGTTCAATTTTGACACGCTCATGCATGTATATACAACATGTTCTACTCATACGATTTGCTCAACTCATGCACAACTTGTGAGTACTACTGGACTCCTAAATGTATTATCAGCTCTTTCTTCACAAAAACAACATGGTGAATGCAGCACCAGAAGTCTGCTGGTCAGTTATATGCTGATAGTTCACGCAAGAATGCCGCTGCAACTTCCTTTGTAATCCAAGTTACTCCTTGTAAAGTACTACAATTTCTTTTTTCCCTTGTGGAGGTTAAGTCATGGTTTGTGCAAAGGAAACCATTCTTCTCTTCTCGGCAATGGCTATATTTGGTTTCTTTAGCACAACTCTGGTCGACGGTACTGTGTACAGTGTTGGTGATTCCGCCGGTTGGACAGGCAGCAATATTGACTATCATATGTGGGCTTCTACTAAGACTTTCCAGGTTGGTGACACTCTTGGTAAGTCCAGCTAGTTTAGCTGATCACCTGGTTTACAACAAGTGCTTCCGATTTGAACTATGTATATAACTAGCTTTCACAACAGCTTGTTGCTATTGTTTCCTTTGTTGTTATTATGTTTCTGGCCCTTTTTGTTGATATTGCTTGTTTCTATTCTTTCTTTTCATCCTTTTCGAGCCAAGGGTCAATCGGAAATAGGCTCTCTACCTTCCCAGGGTAGGGGTAAAGTCTGCATATACACTACCCTCCCCAGACCCCACTTGTGGGATTTCACTGGGTTGTTGTTGTTGTTGTATAAATTTATATCAAATTTGCATTTCTAGCTATAAAATTATAGCTGTAGATTAGAAGCCGGTACTACTAATTGAAAGGATTTCAGTTATATTCACAGATGGTTTGAAGATTTTTAATGTTATATGTGTAGTTTAACTTGTGAATCACATGTCATTTACCGTTTTACCAGGTTACAGTTTAATGTTTATCATAGACATTTATTTGTAATTATCTCATAAATGATCTGTTAGTGTACATAATTTGAACTCTAATGAGAAAGGTTTACATCGAGTTCAGTCTACAATGACAAAGGGAACGTTTTTGCTGGAGGGGTTTGTCTCCATGGAAAAAGTATTTTAACTTCTTAAATTTTTGATCCATCTCTGCCCATCCTTATTAAGAATTTCCAATGATATAGTAAGTACTTATTGAGGGGAGCCTTGGAGCAACGGTAAAGTCGTCGATTTGTAGGTCATGGGTTCGAGTCGTGGAATCAGTCAGCCACTGATGCTTGCATTAGGGTAGACTGCCTACATTACACCCCTTGGGGTGCGGCTCTTCCAGGACCCTGCGTGAACGTGGAATGCTTCGGGCAACGGGCTGCCCTTTTTATAGTAACTACTTATTAAGATTATTAAGTGCCCTGTTTATTAGCATTTTCACTAACTGTTGGCCTCAATGGTGCTGAAGTTTTCCAGTACAACCAACAACTCCACAACGTGGTACGGGTGAGCCTCTCCGATTTCCATTCGTGCAATGCTGGAAATCCAATCGTCACTTACTCCTCCGGCAACGATTCCATCACCATTGTCGGTCCCGGCCACTACTACTATATTTGTGGGTTTCGAGGCCACTGTCAAGCTGGACAGAAGCTCGATATTCGGGTACCCAAAGCCTACCAATTAACTGATATCCGTAGCAGAAAACTAACTAAAGCTCCAGTTGCAGCCTAAGTAGCAGTGATCAGAAGAGCAAATAAATACTTCACTTGGAGAAAATTGATTTGGAGGTTAATAAAATATGTACTAGTGGTAGTGACAATGTTTTGAATTATTAGCTCTAAGCTATTGGACTACCTATCAATAACTAGTCTTATTTGTTGTATTACTGATGTTCTGGGTAATAAAATGCATTGGTGTGGGCAAAACATATACATATGAATATCATAAAGTACCTATTTATCTATTTCTTCCGAAAGAAGTGCACAAGATTTGAAGTGCATGTATCTTATATCTATATAATAAAAATTAATTAACCAACTGTGCATCAACTCCAAATTAGTTAAAATTACCTACAAGAATACTTGTGTATACTATTCATTCACTATATGGAGTAAATCATATGAATCTTCTATATTCAGTCTGACTATTTTTATATTGACAATCGCTCCGAGAAGAACAACAATAACAAGCCCAGTGAAATCTCACAAGTGGGATCTGGAGAGGGTAAAGTGTACGCAGACCTTACCGCTGCCTTATGACGGTAGAGAGGTTGTTTTCCGAAAGTTCATCGGCTCAAGAGAAGTGAAAATGAAATAATAAACAGACAGTAGCAACAACAAGGTCATTAGACATGGGCGCAAATGGAGATACGTGCAATAACAAAGATATCTAAGAATAATAAAAACAGAGTCAATCTTGCTGGAAATAATGACACAATGTGAAATAGTAAGGGCTAGGAATAGCAAAATACAAGACTAGTACTAATACTATTGGGATGCCTAGACGAAACTCTAGACTGCATGTCAACCGACAACCCTAATCCTCGATTCCACACCCTCCTATCGAGGGTCATGTCCTCGGTAAGCTGAAGTAGCGCCATGTCTTGCCTAGCTAATCACATCACCTCAGAACTTCTTACGCCTTCCTCTACCTTCTCTGACCCGCCATGGTCAACCTCTCACACCTCCTAACCGGGGCATCAGGGTCTCTCCTCTTCACAAGTCCGAACCATCTCAACCTCGATTCCTGCAACTTATCTTCTATACGAGCCACGCCTACCTTGTCCCTAATATACTCGTTCTTCATGTTATCTCTCCTGGTATGCCCACACATCCATCTCAACATCTTCATTTCTGCTACTTTCAACTTCTACACACGAGATTTCTTGATTGGCCAACACTCGGCTCCATACAACATGGTCTGTCTAACTACCGCTTTATAGAACTTGCCCTTAAGTTTAGGTGGCACATTCTTGTCCCACAAAACACCATAAGCGAATCTCCATTTTATCCATCCCACTCCAGTACGGTATACGACATCCTCGTCGATCTCCATCACTCCATGTTACCTTGTGTCACGGACCCAAGATATTTGAAACTATCTAATAGAGTTGAAGAAATCCACATCAAATTTGGATCAAATCTGTTCTCTTCGCTCCATCTATTGTACTCTGGATCAGTGGGTCAAGGTCCATTTTACCTACCCCTACTTTTCCAGAAAACATGCAATTTTTTTGACTAATACATCACTTAAATCCAAACTCTCGTGATCCCATGTACAAATACAGAAACACACATATCTGCATACATTTCTTTTTTCATTATCTTCTTCCCGTGGGTGACCTATAGTCTATTCTGTTAATGTGCAAGAGATTAGAGTTTTGCAAAAGCAGTAGGCCATACACAATGATCCATAGATTATATTGGACTTAGAAGCGGAGCTAGCATGAAATATAGGTTCACATAACCTCATTATTTTTTTCTCAAATTCTGTATATATATTAAGAAGTACATTGAATATCTATAAATTTGCCAATCTAGTTAATACAGTATATTAATTTGAGATCGTTATAGGAACCAATAACTTTAAATTCTAAATCCGCTTCCGGGGGTGACCCACTGTTAAAGCTACTGGATTTTCTGCTTTGCCTCTCATTGTCTCGTGTCTCAATTAAGGGCTTAAATCATATATAAACCCTATATACTTTTAGCATCAAGTGCACCTTCCTTACCTATTCTTTTGATTTTTTTCGCATACTACCACTCCAAGATAAGTGCACAAAGTTTATTACTTAAATGTTCACTCATTTATTAGTAATTATTTAATAAAATCATATTTCCTTTTTTCATAATACAAAAGTCACTTATTTATGTCATATCTAGGGGTGTCCATAAAAATCCGCAAAATCGAACCAAACCGACTAAAAAAACGATACTTTTTCGATTTGGTTTGGTTTTAGTTTCGAATTTTAAAAATCGATCAAATTTGGTTTGGTTTTAATAAAAAAATAATCGAAAAAATCGAACCAAACCGAATATAGAAATAGCTATTTAAAATTTATTATTATACCTATATATAAGTGTATTTTATACAAAGTTTCTAAAATTTTATGTTATATTTTAATAGTTTGCACTTTTAGTCTAGTTCTTTGCTATTATAATAATCTAGTTATTTGCCTTTACATTCTAGTTTGATTGATAATTTTCTTTTGCTAAGTACAAGAACTTATTTCATGTTAAAAATAATCTATTTTTAATTGAGTCCTAAAATTAATCATTACTAATTGGTTCAATTATCATCAATATATGTTGGTAAATGATAGATTTCTTAAAGAGCAATTGGTTTGATAATGTATGTTGAAAATGTAATCGCCGGAATATGTGTTTGGTAGTGTATGTCTCATATTTAAGAAAAAATTGAAAAATTTTCGAAAAATAAAAAAACCGACAAAAACGATATATACCGAATCAATAAAAAACAGACTTAATTGGTTTGGTTTTGATCTAGTTTATCGGCTTACTTGGTTTGGTTATTTTTTAGAAAAAAAATAATCTAAACCGAAACATAAACAACCCTAGTCATATCACTTGAAAGGTTAGGCCGAGTCCTCATACTCTTAACCTTAAAAGTGGATTGGTGGGAGTAATATCTAGGCTTAATTTTCATCACTGATTTAAAATGTTGGAAATGGTAAGGAAAAGTTAAGGAACACATTAAAAGCGAGTTGGGTAGGAGCCTAGAAACAAGAATGTATACGGTCGAAATCAGATATGTCCGATCTCCCAGGCTCGAGGGGTCGCCTTAGGCCCGAGTTCAGGTAAGGTCGAGTTAGAGCTTGATGGACCAGACTCGAGCTCGAAGACAGAGTGCAATACCCGAAGATTGAAGTACGATGGATACCGAAGCCGAGTATGCTCGATCCCGAAATAATGCCGTTATGGATTTGTAACAGAATGAGCGAAATTCCTGCCACGTCCCTAAAATCATGGCGCAAATCGAAATAGTATTGTGCGATTCCGTACTACGCAGTTAGACAACTTTCCCAATAATATTCCTTATTGTAAATAGAAATGTACCTTATTTAGGACTCCCCTATTATATAAAGGGGACCCCAATCATTTGTAAACATCATCCAATCATTGGCAAAGAATATACTCTCTACTTTTCGCTCATTGTTCATCAGAATTGCCATTTAGCTTTATTATTCTCGCTTTATCGTTCTTAATCCATCTCGAGGTCATTGGGCTCGAGGTCGACACTGACTTATCTACTGGTTTGGTCTTACTTATTTCTTTCATTTATACGTTGCTCTTCTTGATTATTAATTGGTATTGAACTAAATCACGTATCTTTAAAACCACAAATCAAATTTAATTGTTACTCGTATTTTCGAGGTAAACAGTTTGGCGCCCACCGTGGGGCTAAAGATAATAGTGATTGTTTCAGTACTGATCCTCATAACACACGTTATTTTTACACTTTTTCTTGTCAAGAATTTTTGATTCTCAAGATTAAACATGTCAAACTCGCAAAACGCACCTATTCATGACAATGAAGGTCTTGGATTTCATGGGAAAAACAACAATGTAAGGGTCGGTGTACCACCGATAAACCTTGGGGAAGTGCCAAATGTGGAACCAGTAGATGTTAGTTCGCACATTGCTTTGAATGCAGATTTAGGCGCAGACCCCAGAGGAAGTGTACGCACAGAGGCCCGATCTAGGGGGCAGGGAACACAAGGTATAGGAGATGGGGGAGTCAGCCTCCAAGTTATATTCGAGATGCTGCAAGCTCAGCAGATTGCCATCGCTCACCTTCAGAGTTAGAATAAAACTCCGAGTATAGCCGAACCAGAAAACACTCGACGGGCTGAACCAGCGCCAGAGAGGTCGAACGAAAAATGGCTCGGGGACTGACCTCACCATTATGAGAATGCTCGTAGAGCTCACCAAGAGGATAGAGTCCGGGGAAAAGAAGATTGAGGACAATGACAAAAAGTGGAGACTTATAACTCCCCTGTTGATCAAATACCAGGGGCACCCCCGGTCTTGAAGGGTTTAGACGCCAAAATGTTCATACGAAAACCATTCCCTCAAAGTGCAGCTCCGATGCCCATTCCTATAAAGTTTTGCATGCCCGATATACCCAAATATAACAGGGCAACCGACCCTAATGAGCATATTACCTCATATACTTATGGGATTAAAGGAAACGACCTGAATGATAATGAGATCCAGTCAATGTTGTTGAAAAAATTTGGGAAAACTTTGTCGAAAGGAACCATGATTTGGTATCACAACTTGCCTCCTAACTCTATTGATTCGTTTGCTATGTTAGAAGATGCCGCCGTGAAATCACACGCCGGGGCCATAAAGGTGGCGACGAGGAAATCGGACGTCTTCAAGATGAATCAGAGGAACGACGAGATGTTGAGGGAGTTCGTGTCTAGGTTTCAGATGGAGTGAATGGAATTACCACCGGTCTCGGATGACTGGGCAGTGCAAGCTTTTATGCAGGGTTTAAATGAAAGGAGTTCGACTGCGTCTCGACAACTAAAGCACAATCAGATCTAGTATCCAGCTGTGACATGGTCGGACGTGCATAATTGTTATCAGTAAAAAATCAGGGTCGAGGACGACCAGTTGGAGCCCCCTCGGGTTCAGTTCATCCTAATCAATTGGCAGCCGAGCCCCCGAGGGATACGGACAGGGAATCGATGTCAAACAAGGAACGCTATCAGCGGTATGTCGATCGAAGAAACAACGGCTCGATCGTAACGCTCCTCAGAATTATCAGAGAAATGATCGAGGTCAAAGATCTTGGGGACTCATGAGAAAGAATGGGTTCGATAAACACACCTAACCCGCAGAGGCACCTCGATTGTCGGAATATAATTTCAGTGTAGACGTATCAGGGATCGTGTCTGTCACACCCCTTTTTTACCCCTC